GTTGTTGGATGAATTAACAAGGCCTAATTTCTCTTGAACAAGGAAGGAGATGGGATTTTCCCATCTTTAAGGATTTAGCATTTTTCTATGTCATCGTTGTTGACATTATCAATATGTGGAATTATTTAATTTTTTATTTAATATAATATCTGAAGTTCACATTCATTGAGCCCTATAGGAGTTTCTTAGAACCTTATCTCTAGATCTTGATTGATTTTGATGATTGTTTTGTTGTCTGTGGTCTCGGCAATTGATGTTGAAAAGCACCATCAATTTTAATTTCTCACATGCTTGCATTTTGTTATAAAATTTTTGCCTAATTGCTTATTTCTCTTTCGCTCATGCTTTCTGGAGGAAAGGAAAGTTATATAGTAGGGCCAGTAAGATAATCTCCTCTTTAGAATATGGTATAATTTCTTTTCCTCTTTTTTTTATTTCATTATGTTCTTGGTATCCTTCCTGTTAGGTTTATGATGTCTGTGGTCACCCAGTATAATTTTTTTTATTTAAAGGTCAAAAAGGCTAGACAAATGATATTTAATATAATTATGTTTAAGCCAGAAGATAACATAGTCTACACAAGATTGACTTCTTAATATAGACAACAATTACTGGGCTTTTCATGGATGGTCAATTTATATTTATGATTGGGATAACAATAATTTGACGAAATAATAATTGTTTCATCTATTAATTTTCAAGATTTTTTTGATTTAAATGTATAATAAGATCAAAGTTCAGAACAGTTTAGCTGGCTTTAAAGCAGCTGCAGATGGCCTAAAAATTTCCAAAAATATATATTGGTTTGATGTTACATAGTTGTTGGTTCGTGCCTTAATCAAAAGCTTGAAATAAAAGTTTACAAAGGTTTATAGCTATGAAATTTGGATTGAATTAAAAGATCCTCCTCTTTTGGTTCTAATGTAGGATCAAATGACAAGGATGAGCTCTAGTATTTTTTAGCATCAATATCATCGTGGAAGGAGGTGGCATCTTTTTTTACAATATGCATTAAGCCAGCTCTGTTATCAACAATGTTCTTTTAGAACTTCACTCATGTTTAATTATGTACAAAATTTGCTGCTATTTTAACTTCGTATCCATAATTTATATTCTCCTATCTGAATTTTGTCTATTATTTTTCTAAATTTGTTGTAGGCTACCTTTTAATACTCTGTGAGTCTACAAATGCTAGAGATGTTGAAGAGAGGCTTTGCATGGCAGTACAAATGCTATGACGGTCGTGGGGACTTTGCGACTGTGAGCTACTTTACCAATCTAAACATTTTGCTAAATCAAAGGCTTTGCCTTCTCTAATGTGTGTATGATGCTTCTTACATGTCATAGTGGGAGAACGAAGCACACACTGAGTGTTGAGGTCTATGGGCTTCACATGGCCCTGAGAAGCCATCGATCATAAGAAGAAGCAACACGAAGCAGGGGAAAGGGATCATCCTCGATAAAGTGTTATGATGACAAGAATGTTTAAAGGCGTCGTTTGTTACTCATTCTTGTATTTACTAGAAATTTAAGAAGTGATCTAACTATATTTTTTAAAGACATTCTAAACCTGATGAAATAATGATATTTGGTTGAAATTTCTAGTATCAATCTAACTCAACCAGAAAGCCCTCGATTTTTAGCAAGAATTCAGCCTATTATGAAAAACTTGAAGCAGCATGTATATGAACAAATGAAAAAGCAAGATCTCTTTCATGAGTTTGTCCAAATAGATGAAATAGTGCAGGGACTATGTCAACCTATGTCGATCATTACCTTGGACTATAGCAAGTATTGTGTGGTCTTGAGCATGAGGCTACGTCAAGGCTAAGAAAACCTTGGACGTCCTCGTGTGACACCAATACCATTTGTGATATATAGAAGACCATACACAGTGTGATGTCCTTGCGTGGCCCAAGCGGTACCATCGCATGGGTCTAGTGGTACCATTGCCTAGGCTTGGTTTAGGCCACTGATTTGGCCTTCTAACGAGCCCAATTCAGTCCTGCTTCAAGCTTAATCACTTTCATGACAAGGCTTTATTTTGGCCCAATACCGACTTAAATTGACTCAAAATGGTTTCAATCAAGATCTTAACAAATCAACCACTCATCCGACATATCTTCGAAGCTTTCGGCATGTTGTTTGATCTTTCGACACTTCGTTTGAACCCCCAGCACATCGTTTTATCCTCCGGCATTTCGTCCAATCCTCTAGCATGTCGATTTCGTCATGACATTTGATCTTCTGGCATGATATTATATCCTTCTGACACGATATTCGAACCTCTAGTAGAAAGTTCATTCTTTAGCACATCAACCAATCCTCCAGCTCGACGTCTAATTTCTAGCACAACACTCTTCCGATACGACGTCCAAATCTCCTACTCAACATTTAGCCCTTTGGTGGTCCAAGTCTATGATTGCAGTATTTCCTGCTTCACTTATCTCAAAATCGCATTAGTTCATCAAATTCATCAATTGGTTTTTGTTAGGACTCTAGCTAGGAGAGTCCTAATTGAGAGGGACATTCATGTAAAACCTACTTAAGCTGACCCCTATTACAGAGGTGAAGAGGCCGGCTAGGGTTAGGAGGTTATTTCTTAGAGAAGAATAGGGAGTTGTAAAGGAATAGGAGTCTTGAGTAGGAGCCCTATTAGGAGTTGGTTAGAAGTAGGAGTCTATAGTATGAGTCCTATTAGGAGTTGTTTAGAAGTAGGAGTCTTAAGTAAGAGTCCTATTAGGAGATAGGGTTTAGAAGCCCTATAAATAGTCATGTATTCCACCTCTTTTGATAAGGAATAGATGAATCTTTTCTGCAGCCTTTGAGCAGCAATTTGGAGGGAGGAACCCCTATAGAGTTTCAAGGAGGCCGATCCCCTAAAGAGATCAATCCCAAGTTTAGAATCTGCAAGGGTACTAACACCTAGTATCAGAGCAGCGTTCTTGGCGTCTCGCTGCCCTTCCATAGCCATCCATCAACTCTCCACAACCGCCCAAAGCAATTCCCACAATTGCTTAAGAGATCGTTGCCAAATTCCGCCATCATCTCCACCACCACGGATCATCCTTTGATCTCCCCGTGAATTGCAACAGGTTCTGGTTTTCTACCTTACTGTTGCTGTAATTTAGTTATCCTTATTTGAAAATCCCAAAAAAATTATTCCTATATTGCTGCATAAACTTTTCGTCATAAAGTTTTCATCTCTATGACGAACAATACATTGCAGAATTCCAATCGTATAGAACCGTCTTTTTGATCTTGCTACTGTGTTTTTTCTATCCAAATCTCTTCAAAATTTTTATGACATCTTTGACACTTCCTAACAGCAGATTTTCCTTTGGTTTTGTCAAAAAATTCTCAATATAAACCATTGATATTTTACGTCTCATCTGCTATACTTGAAAATCTGCACTATAAAATTTCAGCAACATAGCACTGTTTGTTTGATCTTGATACTACGTTGTTTCTATCCAAATCTTTACGAAATTTTTATGATAGCTTTGACACTTCCTAATAGTGGATTTCCCTTTGGTTTCATCAAAAAATTCTCAACATAACCTACAGATCTTTTACATCCAATCTGCCATACTTAAAAATCTGTGCTGCAGAAAATTTCAACCGCATATTATTGCCTTAACCCATCTATTTGCGATCTTTTTTGAATGAAATTTCTTATACACTTCATAGATCATCTTGGCTTCCATCTATGATTGATCTATTAAGAAATTCATCTCTAAAAATGATTTTGTGTTGCTGCAAATTTTCATCATAACCCGTTGAAATTTCTCGACGAGAATTCTGCAATCGCAACTTGCACCAATTTCCTTGCAGTTATACTGTCGAAATTTTCTTGATTAAATTAGATATTCTTGCTGTCATATAAACTGTGATTTTGCTATTAATTCCCTCCTCAATTCTCTCAAGTTTTTGGTGGAATTTACGTCGAGAAACCGTTGTTTCTTCGACGACAATTCTACTCTTACAAGACAGCACATACTTGTTGCAACTTCCACTGATTTCTATCAAACCTTTGCTACCATCTACCACAGATCCAAAACTTTCATCTACAGCCCTAAAACTCCACCAAACCACACCCTCAAACTGCACCCAAATTAGTCACAAAACAAGCCTAAACCGTAGCTTACATCCACCGATCTACCAACCCTTTCGACCATCAGCTCTCTCAACCAATACATGCTTTTAACCCAACAACAAAAGAGAGATCTTAACATCACAGATTTGGTGGCATATACTATGGGATCTGAGGAGGTAATCAATGCTAAATTCGAAGCCTTCGAGGCACGAATGGAGGATAAGATTCGGACGCTCTTTACCGAACTCAGATTGGGTCGACCACTAAGCCCGAAGAAATCACATCAAGGAGAGAGCTTTGCCCAATCGCACCGAGCCCAAAGATATGATTTCCAAGAGAGGGGAAGCTCTATGACCAACCCCAACTATCCATGCATGAAAGTGGACTTCCCTAGATGGGAAGAAGGAGACCCGATTGGTTGGATCTCGCGCGCGGAGCGATATTTTCGGTACTATAAAATCGTGGATGCATCTATGGTGAAAATTGCAGCTATACATCTTGAAGGGGATGCTATACAGTGGTTTGATTGGTTTGAACATACTTATGGAGTCCTTTCATGGCGACAATTCAAAGAAGGATTGCTGATCCGCTTCAGACCAACCGATTACGAGAATATTGACGGACAACTAGCAAAGATCCGACAAACCTCCACCATTCAAGAGTACCAAACCAGGTTTGGAAGGTTATCTAATCAAACTCATGATTGGTCTCAAAAACAGCTATTGAGGACCTTCATTGAGGGCTTGAAGCCAGAGATCCGAGGAGAAGTTAAAGCGCGACAACCGTATATGCTTATGGCAGCCATCTCTTTTGCACGACATCAAGAGGAGCAATTGAATCATGAAGCTCGGAGGACTAGGGTCGCTCCTCAACCAGTAATATTGAAGCCCTCAGCCCCCCCTATTATCGACCAAGTCCCTACACCAAAGAGGTTAACAAGAGAAGAGCTTCGGGAGCGATATGCGAAGGGGTTATGTTGGCATTGTGACGAGCCGTGGAGCCGTGAGCATAGCTGTAGTAAAGGGAGACTTCTTATGATTGAACCAATAGAAGAAGAGGTCGTTGAACATCCAGAAGAGAGCCACAACCGACTGAAGTTACGGTACATGCACTAGCCGGCTACTCAAACCCGGAAACGATGAAAGTTGGAGGCCTTCTCAAACAACAACCGATCACTGTTCTCATCGACACAGGCAGTTCTAATAGCTTTATAAACAGTAAGGTTACTATCCAGATGGCCTTACCTATTGAGAATTGCAGCAGGTTTGACGTTAAGGTCGTCGACGGACGGATTTTGAATTGTGATCGTAGGCGCCCGTAGGAGAAACTATTGTTGTAGGACCAAGAGATAATTACATATTTCTTCCTTCTCCCTCCTGATGATCATTAGGCCATGTTCATAATTAAATGGTTGACGACATTAGGTGATATTTCTTGGAATTTTATGCAACTAATTATGAAATTTTACAGTAAGGAGAAACAGGTGATACTGAACGGGAAACGTGGGGGCGGCATAACGACGATTTGCACATAACAAATGGAGAAGGTTTTGCATAAAGCATGCAGCATATTTTTTATACAACATGAGCAGCAAACTAAGAGAGAGCCAATACAATTTGAAAATCCAAACCTACTTCCTTTGCTTGCTGAATTTTCAGATATATTTGACGAACCGTACAACCTACCTCTTACCCGTCGGCATGATCATTATATAATGATTCTTTCAGGCAAACCTCCAGCAAATACTCGGCCATATCAATATCTATATCTCCAGAAGGATGAAATAGAAAAGATTGTAAAAGAAATGCTCAAAACAAGAGTTATTCGGCCAAGTTGCAACCTCTATTCTTCACCGGTGCTACTTGTACGCAAGAAGGACGGAACATGGCGAATATGCGTTGATTACCAAGCTCTCAATGGCATAACCATCAAGGACAAATACCTTATTCCAATAGCAGATGAATTACTAGATGAAAGGGAGCACAAATCTTTACAAAGCTGGACCTTTGATCCGGGTATCATCAAATATGAGTCTGCGAAGAAGACATACCGAAAACCACCTTTTGAACACACAACAACCATTACGAATTTTTGCTTTCTTCAACAGAAGGTGGAATATCTTGTGCATATCATATCAGAGGAAGGTGTGACAGTGGACCCCTTCAAAATTGAAGCAATGCAAAACTGGCCTACCCCGAGGAACGTAAAATTGCTACATGACTTTCTGGATTTAACAGGCTACTACTGCAAGTTCGTGAAAAACTATGGCGAGATAAGTGCATCACTTACTTCCTTTCTGAAAAAAGATGTCTTTCAATGGTCGGACAGAGCCTCCGCTGCCTTCGACAAACTTAAGGCAGCCATGACGACGACGTCGGTGCTAACACTATCAGATTTTAACCGACCCTTCATTATTGAGGCCGACGCATCTGGAGTCAGAATTGGAGCCATTCTCATGCAAGATGGTCGACCACTCGCATACATTAACAAGGCATTATCTCCCTCCCATCAAAATAAGTCAACATATGATAAGGAGATGCTCGCCATTGTGCACGCAGCAACGAGGTGGAGACCTTACTTGATTGGTCGACGATTTCAAAATAAAACCGACCATAAAAGCCTCAAGTACTTTTTCGAGCGAAAGATACCATCCCTTGAGCAGCAAATATGGGTAACAAAATTTCTTGGATTTGATTTTGAAATAACTTACAAAAAGGGGAAAGAGAATGTTCTTGCAGATGCGCTTTCGAAGCTACCCGAGCAAGTTGAAGTTTCGGCCGTTTCACTTCCGACCAGCGACTTCATTGAGGATATTAAGATGGAATGGCAGGAAGATTCAGATACTAGTAAGATTATAAAAAAATTGGAGGAAGCACCAAGCCCCATGGCTCATTACAATTGGGACTCAAAAGAATTACACTATAAGCGACGCATTGTGCTTATGATAAATTCTACTTGTATCTTCACGAGCAGATTTTGGACAAAGTTATTCCATATGCAGGGTACTAAATTGAAAAGGAGTATGGCATATCACCCACAAACCGACGGCCAAACGGAAGTTGTAAATAGGTGCTTGGAGACAGCCCAAAGCCACCCACCAAATATGACTACCCAAGGAGAACTTCAGACTCAGCCAAGTGCTATTATTGGTTGACGGATCGTGACTCGACGACGACGATCCACTACTGAATTGTTAATACAGTGGGCAAACCTACTAACAGAAGATGCCACTTGGGAGAACTATGATGTCTTGAAGATCAAATTCTCAAAATTCATGAATCGTCAGCCTCGAGGACAAGGCTGATTTGAAGAGGGCGGGTCTGTTAGGACTCTAGCTAGGAGAGTCCTAATTGAGAGGGACATTCATGTAAAACCTACCATAGCCGACCCCTATTAAAGAGGTGAAGAAGCCGGCTAGGGTTAGGAGGTTATTTCTTAGAGAAGAATAGGGAGTTGTAAAGGAATAGGAGTCTTGAGTAGGAGTCCTATTAGGAGTTGGTTAGAAGTAGGAGTCTTGAGTAGGAGTCCTATTAGGAGTTGTTTAGAAGTAGGAGTCTTAAGTAAGAGTCATATTAGGAGTTAGGGTTTAGAAGCTCTATAAATAGTCATGTATTCCACCTCTTTTAATAAGCAATAGATGAATCTTTTCTGCAGCCTTTGAGCAGCAACTTAGAGGGAGGAACCCCTATAGAGTTCCAAGGAGGCCGATCCCCTAAAGAGATCAACCCCAAGTTTAGAATCTGCAAGGGTTCTAACAGTTTCATCATCAAAATCTAGGATTCAACAAATCCCCCTATCTCATCTTCTCCGTTCACTATCTTCGTAAGACAGCCCTCAGCCCTCCCTACCCCAATCGTTGTTGCCACCCCCCTTTGCTTCTGAATAGTGTTGAGGTCAAAGGTAATGTTAGAGCATGGATGATCCCTAAACTCTAGGAAATGATCTTCTTCTATTGCTCTGAGAAGATTTTTTTTGTTTATTGATGATTGTGGCTTTTGTGAGGACTTTGGAAATCAGATATTGTCATGTTTGATGCTGTAAATTCTATAACTTGCATACATATATATATCACTCGACAACAAAAGTATTCCTTACCGCAGGCTAGCTTCCAGCAGGAAGCAGTAGCTGAAGAGATTCTTGATGAAGAACAAATCCTGATCAAGGGTTGGGGGTTCTTTGTTTTCCTGATAACAACAGCAAAAGTTCAGGATTGCTTGAGAGGGCAAACCATTTCAGTGATGCAAAAAATCATCTTTTGTTTCTAGTTCTCCTCTGTTCATTTTTAGACCCAGATGAGGTTTTACCACTTAGATATGGCAGTTCTTGTTTTTCTGAGAAGTAAACTTCTTTCATACAGTAATAACTAGCATTAAAAGAGAATGATTTCCTCACAAGAGGATTAGTCAGTAGTCTTGAAGTGTATCAATGCATATGTGGAAAATGGTTACCTAGAAACTGAGGTTGCTTTAACTCTATCTTTTCCCTTCTTTGGAGAAGATTTGTTGAACAAGTTTGAACTATATCTCGTTCTTTGATCTGTAGCATGTTTCATAAATTCGAGGAGGTTGTCCATGATTCTCTGCATTGAATGTGTCATTGGTAAGAAAGTTTGATCTCTTCTGAATGGCCTTAATTTACACAGAGGCAATTTTTCCTTTTTGTGTTTTCTGGAAAACTCTTACTATGTCATCTAGAGACACCTGGAAAGAGAATACAGTTTGAAGTTGGAGATTTATAATGAACAAGTGGTCAAGGAATCCTTGATCACATATGAAGCGTCCTTGCACTTGGTTAATCGTTTTGAATGCTCTGCAATATAACCATCAGAAGAATTTATTTCTTTATCATGATTGGTATCAATAATGTCAGCTAATATGCAGATGACAACACCTTGATACATGATACCTGTCAAAGATTAAAGAGCTAAGACAAAGGTTAGTACTCTTTGCTCTCTGCTGTGCTGTATTCATGGATCTGGATCTGCTTTTGCCTGAAGTTTCTTGACCTAATTCAGTCTAGTGTGTAAAAGGCCATGGATGGTCTCTCTTCCTTCAGGCAGACAAGTATGAACATGACATGTCTTTCCTGAAGGTTGGTTCCTATATTTCATATCTTTCTGTTGTGTCTTTATCGATACTCATATCGAATTCCATTTTCAATAAGAATACGTGGAAGAATTGATGCTTCTCCATGTTGACACAATGAAAACGATCCTTTCATCTGATCAGTTACTGTTGGAATTAAAGGTTTATAGAAAGCATATGCTATTTTCGTTGTATTTTATTCAGTTTCGTGTGTGCCATACGTGATATTTACCATTGCATTAATATTGCAGGATATATTGATTGAAAGCAGCAAGATGGACATGATTCAGCCAAGTTATGAAGCTGTGCTGGAGATATGTTCACAAGATGGTCTTTTTCTCTGCTGAAATTCCGTGTAATGGTTGTTCTTTTCAGTAATTTTATAAAGGCTGTCATGTTTATTTAAACACTATATCTAGTGCATGAATATTCACTTGATATTTGTGACAGTCATGCCAGGTACCTTATCTTCGGTGAGGCTGCAAACTTCTCTCGAGGAAGGAGAATATTTGATTCCATAAGAAGTGATTGAAAAACTTGTATTAGAGGTAATTGTCCTAAGCTAGATTTGTGTGCTAATTAAAAATGCAAATGTTTCATGTGCTCATAAAAAACTGTTTGTGCAATTCCATGAGCTTTTGTGTCCATATGCAGAATTTAATATGATTAGTCTATGTGCTCATATAAAACTGTTTGTGCAATTCCATGAGCTTTTGTGTCCATATGCAGAATTTAATATGATTAGTCTTTGGTGATTCAACTACTTTGGCAATTTTGTTTTCCTATCTCTGGAAACCTTTTACCTAAGAGATCCGTGAGAGTTGAACAATGATACATGAAGAGAATCTTATGTAAAACTTTTATATTTTCCAGCATGTCCCATTTTCGTTGCTCTGTGTTGTGGCGATAAGTTGAACAATGATACATGTGCTTTGCTTTGTAGCTATAAGTTGTTTGTCTTGTGCAGTATGCATGCTGGTTATGTCCTTGTGCATGTCCCATCTTCTTATATATGAGTACAAGCACATGATAAACACCCAAATTGGAGGAATAAGCAATCGATGGTTGGAAACTTATTTTACCTACCCAACTAGTTTTATAATCTTAATGATAAAATCTCGGACATAAGTCAACCATGTATTAAAATCAGGCCTTGTTTCTCATATCAAGCTGGCTGATTCTATCAATTTTTGATATATTCTGAAATGATTCAACATGAATATGACGGACCTACCTTGTCAATAAGTGGATCTCCCTAGTTCTCTGCAGTATATCCACTATCATTAACTCCAGATCATGCTGACAAAATTATTTGTCAAATGGCTCTTGGGCTTTTTTTTCCTTTGTTTAACTCTTTGCAGGAAAACAATAATTTTATATTATAGTGGACGTAGACCAATTTCTCCAAGGATCTTGGTAACATTCAATTGTCACCAATCACTGATTGCAAACTATATTGTATATAGACCAGATTCTCCATGCATATGTTTGACATCCTTGGACGATGTGGTTTTTGATAAGCTCTGCATGAAAAAGATCCTTAAGGGCTGCAAAATTTCAATTGCACAATGAGTTCAATAATTGGTTCAGCTGAGCTGAAGATTGGGAATGTATTCTTGCGTGGAATGATGGTATTGTCACTAATTGTGTCATATTTCTCATTAGACATGTCCTAAGGTAACACATGTCAATTTTGTATCTTTTGAATTGGTTTTTTCAAAACTTGAAGCAGTAAAAGATTGTTTCATGTTTAGCAATTAATTCCAATCTAGTCTTGATTTATTTACTTTTGAATTTGAAATTTTCTTGGTTATCTTATCCCTTCAAATTGTGTGGTTAAATAATTAAAATTGTCAGATGTTTGATGCTTATGGTAATCATATTGAAGAAGGCGTAGAATTGCTCTCATGTTCCATTTTTTTTATTATCAATCTAACGACTTTTCTTTATGTAATTGTGTGATTGAGACCACATATAGGATGCATAGGAGAATGTAGAAGAAAGTGCTGAAGAATAAAGTCGTGAAAATATCTTTTCTATCATTCATATAGGATGTAGAAGATATGTAGTTTTTTTATTTTCGATATGATGTGGAATTTGTTATTGTATCAATTTTAATATTAACTTTCGGGCAAAATGATAGACTCTATGATTGTATTATCTTTAATAATGATGTGGATTTTTTGGTTATTAAAAATTCTGGTATGATTTTGAAATTATTAGAAATTGATAGGTTGTCAAAAAATTATTATTAAATGGATAGTAATGTTGGTTTTGTTGACAGCCTGTCACTAATGTAGTCTGTCACTAATATTATTTTTGTTTAAATAAATATTAGTATAGCAGTGCTACTTCTCTATCGATCTTTTCAATGCAATGAGGCTCCATATTGTTTTGTTGTTGACCTGGCAGTAAATTGTAAACTGTATACAGTGATAATTATTTTTAGCTTAATTGAGTTATGGGTTATTCACTTTTGATTGACATTGTTGTTATTTGTTGATGGTGCATTTTAAGATTGCATTGTATACCAAATAAACAATCCTTGTGTAAAAATTAATTTTGTTTTAAGGCATTAGTTAATCCTGGTTTTACCTTTTGACTTCTTTCATCTCCCTTTGTGATTTCCTTCTTTCATCTCTTCTTTTCTCTCATCCGTAAGTATCTTCCATCCATCTTTAATTTCTCAGATACTTCATTCAGTCGGTCTCTTCCTGAGAAATCCTCTTCTACTCCTCTTTGATCTAATCCTTCGATTCCCCTGCTCTCATCTTTTCTTACGTATCTAATTTTCATTGGATAATAATTCCTTAGCTAGGGTCTCCTCACAACCTTCCATTACCGTTCCTAATGTCTCTTCCTTTCCTCTTTTCAAGTTTAACATTAATCTTTTTTTTTTTTCTTTTTGGCTGCCCGCTCTTGATTAGAGCTTTTGGTTTCTGATGTGTTAGCTGTATTTTGTGTTCACTTAAGCTTTAGGATACTTTTCTTTTAACCCCTTCTCTCTGAGATCTTCCATTTGATATCAAGTCATGTCACTGTCAAGTGTAGAAAACTGGTTAGATCACTCAGGATTTTAATGCAAATTTATTATTTTCACGGTTTCCTTATGCCACTGCTGCTTCAAGCTTCTTGCTTTATCAATTTGCATATTTTCTTTACATTAGGTCATTCTTTTTTGTGTAGACGCTGGTCCAAGCTGCTGAGCGGTGTTCACCTTCGCTTGTGGGATCTCTTGTTGTCTGGTTATGAGTATTAGCCTTCATGCTGTAGTTCTTATATGTCTAATATTGTTCTATGACGGTCTGGGAGCTGACTCTACAAACGTTAAGAAGGTCGAGAGAGAAATCAAGGAATTGGCCAAGAAAGTTAATGATTTATGTGGTATGTTTGTCAATAGAAGGTTTTGATTTTTAATGATAGATTTGCAGAGTTTCATTCCTTTCACTTGTTTCCACATTGGTTAAGATGAAGAAACGAAGATGGTGAAGGATTTGACAATCTTGAAACTAAACTTGAGGCTCATCTTGGATAAAGAAGCTTGAGACATGGGGAATAGAGTAAGAGAAGCCTTATAAGATGCAACTTCTACCCTTGGAATGGGACTATATTTTGTGTAGTTCCATAGTAGTTAGCATTATTAGTTTGAATTTAATTTTAGTTTTTATTTCATATCGTGTCCGAATACATTATTTCATCATGGGTGGATAGTGGGAAGCGAACACGTAGCTTCTTCTTGTCAAAGAGAAATTGTAACATTCAACCTATCCGCATTTTTTTCATGCGTGCATGTATGTCCACACATGCGTGGCATATATCATGTATACATCTAGATGATGAATGGGGCCAAATATTCAAATGCAAAAATGAAATATATCTTTTTATCGGAACTCAAATTGTAGCTTAATGTGTCTCACTGAATTTATTAAATTTATTAAAAATAGAAGGAATGGAGTTTTTGGATAGTTTAAGAGATGAGAGAATCAAGAAAAGCTATCAACAAGACTAATCCGATTCATAATGATGTATTGGAAGATATAATATTTTTATCACTTGACCAATCATCAAGCAAATACAGTGGGTACACTGTATTTATATTATTTATTTTTTTCTCATCCGACTAAGAATAGCCATATCAAACGAGGATTCTGAGCACTCTATCTCCTTTAAGAAAAAGACTGTTCTTGAGGCATTTAGGGGGTGATGCCTCCCCTCATATAAGTGGGTCGCTTCCTCACTCTAATAGGTATTTTCACTCTTAATCTTGCCTCTTGCCTCTTGCTTGATATAAGAGCCTCGATGATTATGTATTTATTTGCTTGTTGTAAAAGATCAACAAAGGTGGCTAGAGTGTTTTTGGTGATCGATCACGAAACTAGGGTCGAAGAGCTTGTATGAAGGTTTGAACAACAATTGACAGAGACATAATCAATCAAGGACTTCTTACCTTGCAATAAGTGTAATTATGGTTAGAAGTATGAGTCTTGAGTAGGAGTTGTTTAGAAGCAGGAGTCTTAAGTAGGAGTCCTATTATGAGTTAGGGATTAGAAGCCTTATAAATAGTCATGTATTCCACCTCTTTTGATAAGCAATAGATGAATCTTTTCTACATCTTTTGAGCAGCAACTTGGAGGGAGGAACCCCTATTGAGTTCCAAAGAGGCCGATCCCCTAAAGAGATCAACCCCAAGTTTAGAATCTGCGGTTCTAACACCTGGTATCAGAGCAGCGTTCTTGGCGTCTCGCTGCCCTTCCATAGTCATCCATCAACTCTCTACAACCGTCCAAAGCAATTCCCACAATTGCTTAAGAGATCGTTGCCAAATTCCGCCATCATCTCCACCACCACGGATCATCCTTTGATCTCCCCGTGAATTGCATCAGGTTCTGGTTTTCTACCTTACTGCTGCTACAATTTAGTTATCCTTATTTGAAAATCCCAAAAAAATTATTCCTATATTGCTGCATAAACTTTTCGTCATAAAGTTTTCATCTCTACAACGAAAGATACAATGCAGAATTCCAACCGTATAGCACCGTCTTTTTGATCTTGCTACTGCGTTTTTTCTATCCAAATCTCTTCAAAATTTTTATGACATCTTTGACACTTCCTAACAGCAGATTTTCCTTTGGTTTTGTCAAAAAATTCTCAATATAAACCATTGATATTTTATGTCTAATCTGCTATACTTGAAAATCTGCACTATAAAATTTCAGCCACATAGCACTGTTTGTTTGATCTTGATACTACGTTGTTTATATCCAAATCTTTACGAAATTTTTATGATAGCTTTGTCACTTCCTAATAGTGGATTTCCCTTTGGTTTCATCAAAAAATTCTCAATATAACCTACTGATCTTTTACATCCAATCTGCTATACTTAAAAATCTGTGCTGTAGAAAATTTCAACCGCATATTGTTGCCTTAACCCATTTATTTGCAATCTTTTTTGAATGAAATTTCTTATACATTTCATAGGTCATCTTGGCTTTCATCTATGATTGATCTATTAAGAAAATCATCTCTAAAAATGATTTTGTGTTGCTGCAAATTTTCATCGTAACTCGCTGAAATTTCTCGACGAGAATTCTACAATCGCAACTTGCACCAATTTCCTTGCTGTTATACTATCGAAATTTTCTTGATTAAATTAGATATCCTTGCTGTCATATAAACTGTGATTTTGATATCAATTCCCTCCTCAATTCTCTCAAGTTTTTGGTGGAATTTACGTCGAGAAACCGTTGTTTCTTCGACGACAATTCTACTCTTACAAGACAGCACATACTTGCTGCAACTTCCACTAATTTCTATCAAACCTTTACTACCATCTACCACATATCCAAAACTTTCATCTACAGCCCTAAAACTCCACCAAACCACACCCTCAAACTGCACTCAAATTAGCCACAAAATAAGCCTAAACTGTAGCCTACATCCACCGATCTACCAACCCTTTCGACCATCAGCTCTCTCAGCCAATACATGCCTTTAACCCAACAACAAAAGAGAGATCTTAACATCACAGATTTGGTGGCATATACTATGGCATCTGAGGAGGTAATCAATGCTAAATTCGAAGTCTTCGAGGCACGAATGGAGGATAAGATTCGGACGCTCTTTACCGAACTCAGATTGGGCCGACCACTAAGCCCGAAGAAATCACATCAAGGAGAGAGCTTTGCCCAATCGCACCAAGCCCAAAGATATGACTTCCAAGAGAGGGGAAGCTCAATGACCAACCCCAACTATCCATGCATGAGAGTGGATTTCCCTAGATGGGAAGAAGGAGACCCGATTGGTTGGATCTCGCGTGCGGAGCGATATTTTCGGAGAGAGGGGAAGCTCAAAGCTCAAAGTCTTTTTATATTTATCTTTTTTTATTTTCTTGGTCGCCTTTTCTAAGTATATATGTGCAATATCTATATTATGATGAAGTGTTATGCTGATGTGTTATTTCTAGTATAACTGATCACCAAAGTGTGAATAGTTGATGGTTACTATCTAACAATGATCTCAAATGAGCTCTTGTTGGGTGTTAAGCTTCGCTACAAGTTGTAAAAGAACTAGACTATGTCCAACAAGTTCATTCAATCTTATTGATTGTCACTCATGTAATATCGAAGATATTGCTCATGTGATAAATTTATTCTTTCAGTTTTGTCATCCATTTGAAATTAGACTTATAGAGAAGTATAACTTGGATCCTAGCAATTTGAACAGCTAGATTGAAAACCACCTCAAGAATTATGCATCTCATGATATTGTGCGAAAGTCCTTAATATTTCATCACATTTTTTATCATCAACTTGATCGCCTCCTACATTGAGCAACGTAGAGGTGCAGAGGTGCAATAATAAATGTTGAGAATCTTGAAGATTGTTCGATGTTTGATATGCTCCTCAAATATTTGGTTGTAGACAACAACATCATCCAAGTAGACAATTATGAACATATTAGAGATAAGGAGTTAGAAATGAGGTACAATCTTGGTCATGATATGCTCCTCGAATATTTGGCTGTAGATAACGATATCATCCAAGTAGACAATTATGAATATATTATAGATAAGGAGTTTAGCCTCTGAGTTCATAGCTTTCATTCAACTTGAGCTTTTTCATATATTTAACCCTAGTCTTCTTATTTCATGGTCAACGATAAAGTTGTAGATAGTGTTTATGTCCATCATTGCATAAGTTGTTTGGCCATTGAGCTTGATGTTCATATACATTGGTTTGTTGCTCCTTGCTTTGTGTTGATTTGCCTTCGTAGGCTTTCCCACTTAACCCCCCAATGCATTTAACAAATGCATTGCTTTCATCTGAAGTCTTTATAACTCTTTATCATTAGATTCAGAACTACTCAACGACAGTCTTACTCTTTTCTGATCTTGCGGAATGGATTATTGTTTTTAACGCATTGAGTGTAGACTTTACCTTTTGAAACTCAATTGCTTATGATAACTCTTCTTCTTTTGTTTGAACTCCTTCCATTAATAATACTTAGATGAATGGTTTTTTTAAAATTATTTATTGTTTCCATCCTCCAAGCACAAGCTTTTTGAAATTAGCAACAAGAGAATCCCTGCCTCCCGTTGGCCCCACGTTCTTTCCGTTCTTAATTTCTCCGGGACTGCCTTCCTAATTGTTTCTGGGGCTGGGTCGATCGGATTGGTCGAAATTTCTCTGATCTGATCTCGAATTTTCTTGGGTGGAATTTCATTTCTCCAGGAGCCGCCTTGGATTGTGCTTCTGTTCTTCTCCTGGTCCGATAGGTGGTTATTTGTTGGGAGTTTAGCTGGGAAACTCTGTGACAAGTTGAGGAGCAAAGGTGATTCCTTCACATCTTTCATTTTATCGTTCTTTCTTATATTCAAAAGTACGGAGCGAGGACGACTTCATCCTCTGCCTCCTCTTTCTCTTTTCCTTTTCCTTGTCACGTGCCGAAAGGGAGGAAGAAGCTTAAATTGAACCCAACGGAAGGAAGGACGGAGAGCTGATTCGTGTCTTTTTCTTTAGTTGCTCCTCTCGTACCAAGGAAGGAATATGTTCCCTTTGCCCTCCTCCGCCCGGTATTTTTGTTTACAGGGGCACCACCGACACAAGAGACCAGTGGCGGTGGCTTGCACATTTCTGCATGTCCGCCTCGAAGCCCCGACTCAACGTCCTCCTCAAACAAATCGCCACAGAAGCTGCGTCCTCGGACATGGCAAATTTCCTCCGACTTCTTTGTCGCATGATCTCTTTGTTGTTGATGTTGACGTGGCCGTGGTGGTGGTTCCGCCTCATCCTTCTCCCAGTAACAGCAGCAACGTCCTCCGAAGGCAACAATGTCAATAGCAACGCTGCCCCCCACAGCACGTATTGTCGCTCCTACTGCGGCAACATCACCGTGGACTACCCCTTCGCCCTCCGGACCGGTTGCGGCCATTCCGGTTTCCGAGACCTCCTCTATTGTATCAACGGCGTCCTCATGCTCCACATCCCCTCCGGCTCCTACCGTGTGCTCGACATCGACTACGCCTACCGCGGCGTCACCCTACACGACCCTGGCATGTCCGACTGCTACTCCCTATTGCGTTCCCCCGGTGGCCTAGGCAATGGCTTCGTGGTGGAGCCCTGGAGGGCGCCCTACCTAGAGCCCGACCCTGACAACGTCTTCATGCTTCTGGGCTGCCGCGCCGATTCGCCACTCTTCCAGGGCTTCCCCTCGCCAGAGGGGAAGCACCTGCCCTGCCGCAACGTCTCCGGCATGGGCTGCGAGGAGTACTACCGGTGCCCCGCCTGGGATGAGGGGCCCAGCAGCAGGAGGCCAAGGGGTTCCGCCTCCGCTTCCGCCTATGGGGTCGTGAGCCCGCCGGAGTGCTGCGCCTTGGAGTTCGGGGCCATCCGGGCCATCAATGTGAGCCACTTGAGGTGCGAGGGGTACAGCAGCGCCTACAGCTTGGCACCGCTGCGGGCGGCGGGACCGGGGGCCTGGGCTTATGGGATTCGTGTGGCCTACTCGCTGCCGGCTGACCACCAGGGGTTCTGTGGAGCGTGCCAGGCCACAGGTGGCGTATGCGGCTACGACCAAGGGACGGATGCTGATATCTGCCTATGTCACCACTATAACTCTACATCCAACTGTGACTCTGCCTATGCGGCTGCCACTGCTGGTATGATTGTAGGGTTACTTCCCTCTCAGAATTTGTTTTCATTGAATTTTTAAAATTGACTCTTTAAATGGTCAGACGTCGAATATGCCCAAACTTAAATGTCGGCGTGGGAACATGGTGTCCAATATGCCCAAATTAATTAGTAAATTACGACAAGTTAGATATATTTTTCAATTTATTAAATATACTGGACAAGTATGGTACTTTTTATCAGCATTTATATGTTGACAAGCAAATATTCACTGTGCAATTTACCATGGATATAAGCTATTCAACGAATTTGATAAAATCTTAACTTTTTGAGATTATGTCTACACTTGGGAGTTTTATTACTGTTCGTGACTGAAGGTCGATGTTTTTGACCCATCGCAGAAAGCTCATCCGAACCGAGCATCATGCCCAAGCCTTCATTGGCGACTCTAATAGGAGGTTAGCATTTGCACCTTTAGTCCTTTGTTATCTGGCGTTTAACTAGAGAAATAATATATCATGACATAATATTTGTGCTTGTGCAGGTTTCCTACTCTTCCGGAATATATTGTCATCCACTTAATAGAAAAAGAATGATCCGCGTGACAAATGGTTGGTTCAGGATTTAATTTTCTCAAGATATGGTTTCCCCAGTTCTTTCATCAAGCGTCTTAATGTCCCGAGGATTTGGAACACGTTTCAACAATGGAATACGTCCACTTCACTTAATCCGAAAAGGATTTTTTTTTCTTTTTTTTGAGGAGTGTTACTGGCTTTCGTGTGTCATGTTACTCTCGGATCGTGTGGTTTATTTTTTAGAAGGTATTTGCCTTTTAGAGCATTGGTATTTATTTTTTAGAAGGTATTTGCATTGTCCATAGTTGTAAAATTCGAGTTAGTAAAGTTCGAGTTATGTTGTAACTATTTAGTACCATGCAGGCGTGTATTTTTTTTTTTTTACAAAAATTTAAAACTATTCCATGTGACACAAATATTAGAGCTGAAATCAAAGTTTATAAATAAACAAATAAAATTATGTGAATCGGAGCCATACAGTTTCAAATTTGAATTAGATCTAATCTGACATGAAACATTGTGACGCTGATCTTCGGGGCTTTCGATAAAGATCAAAATGATTTCAAGGGCTTCTTAAGCCAGTCAGAACATTTGGCCGTCAGTTTTTGCTTCGATGCCGTCGTTCAGATGACTTGTATGATGCGAAGATACTGTAGTTAGCATTTTATCAAATGTTTTTCCTGTTATTGGTCCATATAAATCATATGGCTCGAGCACTACTAAGCTGCGTTAAAGACAATAACACTAGGCTTACCATTGTTATTCCTGATATGTTGTCAAAGCAACAACCAACTATTTTTTTTCAGATATCTGTCTGCTGCATAGACAAAACCTCATTATTAATAGCCTTCGTGCTCATCGGATGCTGTAACTTTTTGACTTACTCTTCAAATCCAACTCTTTTTCTCTCTCTTTTTTTTCTTTTTTTTTTCTTTTTTTTTTGAGAAAAAACATCAGCCATCTTGAAAACTAACAAAGCATTTAAATAACTGCTGCTACTTGGATCTTCTCTTTAAGGTTCTGAGCAACAGCATCAACAAACTCCTCGGTGTTCAAGTAGAATTCTCTGGACACTCTGCAAAAGAAATAAATGAAGACAAAGCACAACTGAGAAAAGAGCAATCACTCGTGCACAGAAGATAAAACCATGTGCCTATATGAGATCTTAGACTCCATATATACTAAATGAACTAAACATATTTCATGGATCTTACTCAGAACAATCAACAGCATCAACAGGCAAGTAAAACAAGAAGCCAGTTCATGGAAGTTTAGCTGTGAAAAGTTCACTTTGTGATCATTGTAAAAAGCAGCTTTAAGCAAATACACAATACTCGATAAATTGTAAAAGATAACAAATTAAATCACAGTGGAAATCTTATTTTTGGTGCAGCTTATACCAAACTTTCTGAAAATCAAGATGAGGATAACAGCAACCTTGAAGGAAAAGTCAACTGTTTTCTTGTATTTGCGTGATTATGAAAAACCATTACAAATTAAATATCCAAAACAAAAGTATTTATCTATCAATTATGGTTTGTTTTAAAAGGTATACTGCCTTGCATTTCTTTTCCTTTTTGTGCTTTCCCGATCTTTTCTCATTTAAGGAACATGTTCCATCATGCTAGTTTTTCTTTTTCAATTGAATTACAATGCTTCTGCAATTCCTAGTTAAGAGTCAGTTTCTTCAACCTTTCCAAGTGTTTCTGGAAGTACCAAACAAGGATTTGAATTTAGCACTACACTGATGTCACGATGAAGCAGATTTTCAATATTTAAAAGAAACTATATAATATTCAAGCAAAAAAAAAGAAGGGGACAAAAATTTGCTTGAGCATACCTTGGACCATGGATAAGAAGTGCAAGATCCTTGGTCATTTTACCAGACTCCACTGTTTCAATGCATGCGGACTCGAGCTTCTGGACAAAGTCTTGTAGTTTTTCATGTTTATCAAGCTCTGCCCTGCAGAAAAATTGGCCTCAACCAGGGAGCTAACCAAAAACATCTAAAGACAAATAATTGCACATATTCTCAATTTCAAGGTAAATTTCATGCCTGTTTCAGAAAGTCAGGCCTTCCATAAAATTTTGTTCCAAGAGTTTTGAAAAATTACAAGTACCTGTGCTCAAGACCACGTGTCCATGCAAATATGGATGCAATACTGTTCGTGCTAGTCTCTTGTCCTCTCTGATGTAGCCTAAAATGGCGAGTCACAGTCCCATGTGCTGCTTCAGCTTCTAATGTTTTCCCGTCAGATGATAACTATAAGTATGTTACAATCACTGTTACCTATACATGGGATAAGTAGAGACTGAGACTAGAGCAATTAAACTTTGGTAATTACCAATACAGACGTCATCAAGCCCAACGAACCAAATCCTGCAACAACAAATAAATCTTAAAACATCATATTATTGAGAATAATTTAAGTTGAGCAAAAGGGAGGTGGAAAAAAACTGTCCAACTGCCAAACAATAAAAGGTTTAACAACACAGATCATGGGCAACCCAACCTAAAAAACTAAATCAATAACAATCACGAGGACATCTATGATTTTCGCCCAAGTTCATTTGATAAAGATCATAGTGTTCTCTTGCAAGATATTGTTAAGGTTATGAAACTCAATGCCATTGTTCCATTGATTAGTTTAAGGTCTCGCACAGTGGAGCCAAGAAAAATAATGTATAAAGGAAGTGTTGAATTATTTCCTACTAATCACCTTAGTTTTAGGGTGATATGCTGCAGAATGCTATAACGTTATGTTCAAAATTTTCAATAAATTTTCCAAAAATATCTTATGAAAAATAACGTGCTACTACCCCTATTCTTCAGTTAAAATAATAAAGTGAAAAGTAAAACATATTTGGAATACAGGAATTTGATACCAATATATTAACTACTGTTATAATAAGATCATAAATTCAAAAGTAAGACCTTGGGCGAGGAAATCACTCTGGACATCTCCATCATAATTTTTGCAGGCCCACACATAACCACCACTGCTTTTCAATGCATAAGCTACCATGTCATCAATCAGCCTATGCTCATACCTGATAACAGGAATACAACAATTATTAGACATCAATTTAAGACTTATTTAAGCAAAAAAGGTGAAACACTTAGAACATATGTTCCCACCATATTGATTGTTCTTCGAACTTTGACTTCCATTTTTCTTCATAAACCTCCTGAAAAATGTCCTTAAACCTACAATATTTCAAATGTCTCATTCCGTATATCTTAGATGCCTAAAGATCTGAAATTTAAAAGGACAAAACCAGATTTTTGGATATATATTGCATCCTGAGCATGAAAATTCCACATTGTTGACAGACATATTTTCTATAGCTGAGCTTCGCAATTTGTAAGGACAATTTAAATTATGGTACAATTATTCATTGAGCTTTGCAATAAGGACACTAACAAATCGAAGAAATAGAGAATAAAAGCAAGCAAGAATCTGTATAATTTTCTATATTTTACAACTTCGTTGATAGGCATATTCTCTAATGTAACTTTGCAGTCAAAGAGAGAAAGGGGTTTAGGGTTTAGAGAGAGAGAGAGAGAGAGAGAGAGAGAGAGAGAGAGCGAGAGATTAATTACAAATGAAATGATACAATTGGCTCTTCATATTAGGAAGAAAAAACAGGGGTACCTGTACATGGTATATGCTGACAAAAAGATACACATTGTGGTTATCTCCCGATGAAAAACAACATATGATACTAATAGATTAGTAAGAAAATAAGCTAGCACAGAAAAGATAACAGTACCTGCCATCGTATTTCTTCAATATGGTATTTTTGGTGCTTAAGTAAAGTGGCCACTTTTTTGCAAATGCCATGGACATTGATGACTCAGCAAAAGCCCGAATGGACTGAAAAGAGTTTCCAATTTTATATGATCAACAAAGAATATCTCTGTAAAATTTCCTACATAAGACTATATATGACAAACCTCATCTACATTATACATAGATAATGCAATACCAGAGCCTTTAAACTCATAAACATCTTGCTCCACAGGTGGACCTTTATCTGCAGGGACTAATTTAACAAAAAAAACCTACTAATCAACCAAGTAGACACTATATGTGTCAAACAGAAAACAATAAATTAATCAAATCAGCAATAGTCAGTATTAGAACTCACCAAAAACCATTTTAAGCTTTCCAGGACCTTTTACAATCATGTCAGTAGCACGATACTGATCTCCAAATGCATGTCTACCAATACATATAGGTTTCTTCCAACCTAAAAGTATACAGCATAAGCAAAGACCTCCAAACACGCACATACATACACACAAAAATTAACTTATCACCAAGTAAAATTTCATTTTTACCAGCAACAATGCGTGGCACATTGCAGCAAAGAATAGGCTCACGAAAAACAGTTCCTGAAGTGAATTAGAACAAGACTGATTCAAGCTAATAAAAGTAACATAGAGATCAGCAAGCATAAGAGGAAATCATAAGGTAAAATGTACCAGATGTATAGATCAAAATGCTAAGTACCAAAAAGAAGGGGTGCAAACTCAAAAGTACAGAAAACAGACATGACATGGAGAATACAAACAAAGCCATGCCAGGGAAGCTACTAGTCAACCATCCATGGATGAGAAAACTTTAAAAGCTGCACTACAATTGGCAATTACTAACCATCAACTTTTGTACCCAACAGAGAGAAACTAAAACAGTAAAATGAGTTACTTCCGGATGCAATGAGGCTGTAACAGCAAGGATTCCTACTCCAGGTAGTAGACTGGCTGACCCCAGGTAAGTGCAACATGTGCGATATGCCAAGCTACCAATACAATCCTGTTTTGTGTCTCAAATGTGAATTATTATTCTGATTTATTTAAATAATGCATGCAGTATGAGCTAATGACCCATGTCAGAAGTTAACTAGCACCATAGCATGGCATTGCAACAACTCTAGCCCCTAATTAAACTATATCTTTCCTACTTCAACTTCCCTTAGCGAGCTAAACAGGAAATAGACTTAAATAAATAAAGGAAAAAAAAGTCCAACGACCAGGGCACTCAATGACCCAAATCCCTCGGCTCGATCCAAACCCAATTCCCTTCCCCCCTTTCCCTTGATCCGAACATAATTTTCCACGTTTGATGCCCATGTTATGCCCTAGCATTGATTTTCAGCCATCAGCCACACGTCATTTCTTTATCCAGTATGTCTCCCTCTTTTCTTGATCTATTCCTGCTTTCTCTTTGCGAATGCTGGGTTGCACCTGCTGTTGCCATCCTATCTTCTCTCCGTTCCCCTTCTCCTTTGCATGTGGCCAGCACCCTACATCATCACCATTCTCTTTTTCTTCTCTCCCCACCTCTTTCCCCTCCCTCTCCTTCTTCTCCTTTCTCTATGGCTCGTACCTGCTGTTACCATCCTATCTTCCTTCTTTTGTCCTTTCTCTCCTCCTATATGCTCTTTTCTTCTCTGCTTTCTTTGTAGCTCACAACTATCATTCTCATTGCCCTCCCTTCCCTCTTATCACTTTCTCCCCTTCAACCTGCCTCTTCTCTCCTATCTCCATTGTTCCATCTCTTTGATCCCTCTCCCTCTCTCCTCTCATTCAAATTAACATGGCAATCAAAACTATATTTCAGATACAATGGTAACCAAAGGTACGTTAAGAGGAATCATCGTCAAGAAACAATAAAGATGATGATCTAAATTAACATGGAAATATCAGATACAATGGTAACTAAAGCGACGTTAGAGGAATCATCATCAAGAACCATTAAAGATGATGATCCAAAAGACCCTAATGCTGCCACTTGCATGTTTTGTGATAAAACCACTAAAGGTGGAACATTTTCAGACAAAACAACATGAAATGGAAAATCTAAAATCAATCATCATGCAAAAAGGAAAGTGTCCTTTGAAAGCAAAGCAGAAGTTACAGGCTTATATGAATGAGAAAAAAACAAAAGATTAAATCATTTAATCATTTACCTCATTTGATGATTGGATGCCTTAAACTAGTTTGTTTAAAATTTGTTTGTTTTGTTATTTAGACACAGACTAGTTTCATTAGCATTGTCATAATTGAGTGTTCTATAAATGGTCATATGTGTCTAATTTGATATCTTCGTATTAATCATTTTGCATATGTAGTGATAAAAACTCATGTAGTGATCCAATTTTTTGTAATATTTTTTAATTGTTATAAGAAAATTACCTTGTTATATTAGGACAAGGGCCTAGGCACGAGCTTGGTGCCACAAGCAATAAGGAAGCTTGGCACCTCATGGCACCTAATACTTTTGATGACTATGGACTGGTCATTCTGAAAATCACCAATGTAGTCAAGAAAAGAAAAACAAAGTCCCTAAAAAAACCAAATGTTGAAAAACCTATTACAGATAAACTTGAAGTAACCAACCATGCTAAGATATTGAAACCAAATTTAGAATTTTGTGTGATCATCGGATGCTTTTGAAATTAAAAGAAAATTATTATAAGATAGTTGTAAGACCAACAATGTTTTATAGATCTGAGTGTTGGCCAATTAAAAAAAACATATACAAAAAATTCGTATTGCCGAGATCAGTGATTTCAATAGGTGCTCGGGTGCTCGCCTAGGTGCTCGGGCGAGGCAAGGCTCGAGCGCCTCGCTTCATTTCCAAGCGGCGCGCTTCAAAGAGGCGTCGCCTAGGCGCTCGCCCAAGCCCAGGCACTGGGCGCTTCGGGCGAGCACCCGGGTTAAACCAAGCGACCGAACCAGCGTTTTCAGTCTGGTTCGGTCTCCGGTGCTTTAGTTGGTTCAATCGAACCAACTAAAGCACCGATATCAGCCTTCCTCTCGTGACTTCCCAACCCTAACCCTACTCGTCACTGTCGCTGCTCGCTACTACCACTGCCACTATCGTCACACATCGCTCGTCGCTCGTCGCTCCCGCTTCCGTTGTCACTGTCGCTGCCACTATCACCGCTCGTTGCTCCCGCTGCCACTATCACCGCTCGCCTCTCTTGCTCCCGCTGTCGTTGCTCGTTGCTACCTCTCCTCACATTGACTCGATAGTATACTGTTAACAGTATATTAACAATATAATGTTAACTGTATACTAGTAACAATATTTTTTTATTTATTAGATTAAAAATATATTATTTCGATTTTAATACTACTAATTTTTATTTATTTGAAATTATTGTTATTGTGTTGAATTTTGAGATTTTTTGTTAATGTGATATTGTGATATTGTAAGATTTTTTTAATTTAATATCATATTTTTATTTAAATAATTATATTTATTAATTATATTTTATATTTTTATATTTTAGCACCTCGCTTCGCTCGAGAGAGCGCCTAGCGCCTCAGGCGTTTTTGGACCTTGGCGCCTTTTGGCGCCTAGTGCTTTTTAAATCATTGGCGAAGATGAAAATGTTAAGATGGATATGTGGAGTTACTAAGAAAGATAAGAGAAGAAATATTTTTATTCGTAAACGACTATGTATCACTTTAATAGAGGATAAGATAAGAGAAAATAGTTTAAGATGGTATTGGCATGTGCTTAGAAGACCTCCAGATATGAAAGTCAGAAAATATGAAGTGATTAATGTTAGTGGTACGAGGAGAGATAGAGGAAAACCTAAAACGACTAATAGAAATTATAACTAAATATTTAAGTACTTTAAACCAAGGTTCGCAATACCGTACTGTACCAGTATTTCGACTTGGGCTCGGTACCGGTACGGTACGGTATACCGAGCGGTACACCCAGGTGTGCCGAGTACTGTAGCACTGCTACAGTGCTACAGTGCACTCGGACCGGTAATAGGCGGTCCGCGTACCGACAACCTGTCGGACCGGTACGTACCACCCGTACAGGGCGTTACGGTTCGGTACGGCAGACCCTGCTTTAAACTTAACTAAACATATGACCTTTCACAAATCTCAATGACGGCAAAAGATCTATGTAGCCAACCCAAATAGTTAAGGCTTTTGGCTTTGTTACTATTGTTGTTGTTATTATTGTAATTGACTCAAATACTTATATTAAAATAAGCAAGAAATAGCTAGAGATGAACCAGGATCATTAACCAAGATGATCCTAAATCATTCAATCAGTCAAAATTAGCCATCATAGATCAAGTTGAACTAGTAGTACCTAAAAACTTAAGTTAAAGTTTGAGGGCACTCCTTGTGTACTCAAGATAAGAGAAATGTAGCGGTACCAATTAAAACTTGAATGGATTCTTAAGGTGATTGGTTGAGAAGAACTCTGTAATCTCATGCTACCAAAAAAATTTAACAATGTTTAAGGAATAGTCCTCATATATTCCCTAAATCTTAAATACAAGAAAACAGATGCAGAGGACAACCATATGCAACAAATCATGCTAACAATAACAAAAGTTCCAAGAAGCAACCTAGATGAGCATTATATCCAACATAAAAGATAAAAGTTGTTTTCTGAAAGTGAATGACCATGTGGAGTAAAATTGACATAAAAGATAATTGTGTGGATTTATATATGGCCGAAGAGGAATGCAATTAATGATAAAAAAATATCAATTAGCAAAACCAAGCACTGTAAAGCAAACCATTTAAAATATTCCTTATTGTTCCATTTGGGCTTCTCCACATAGATTTGAGCTTAAACTCTTTAACTCTAGCTTCATCTGCAGGTCAAATGAGAGTCACATTAAATCCATGTAAAACAAATGACACCAAAACATTGTTGGCCAAAAATGCTTGCTAAAAAATCCACACTAGACAAGAAAGAGTAAAATAATTCTGCATGCCTGTTGGGTTTTTGTGGAGGCATCCTTACCCTCAATTTATACATTTCTTTTTTTTTAATTCCCTTTAAAAACCAAAGAGTATAATCCTCAATTTATACATTTCAGAGGAGCTGCACAAACTAAGGACTACATGGTGCAATGAGTGTTCACCCCAGTGCTTTTGTTATCCTCAAATTATATTAATGATTGAAAAACAGTTTAAGTCCTCTACAACCCTGCATTTTAATCTTCGTTTCACAGAACAGTAGTATATCGTTGTTTGCAAACCTATAACTACAATCATCATCTTCAAACCATGCTCATCAGTTCTATACTTATAAATTTCCTAGTAATCACACATACGCCTATCATGTGTAATGACTACACAGACTCCTCAACCTAAGCTGTAAACAAATGTAAGCAATCTAGACCAATGTCCCTTTTCTAGTCCTTCTACACATGGTAAATATCAATACAACCTTCTGATTTTGCTTTTCCCTTTTAATTGATTTCAGATGAAGCACAATAGAACCTCCCAAGCTCTAAATAACTTATCAAAAACTTGTTCTTATATACATTTGCAAAAATGAATGGATGAAAAGCCATAAGGAATCTTTTTTTTATTTTTAATTTTAGCAAATAACCTCCAACGCTAAGTATTTCTAAAAGCTAGAAACAAGGAAGATGAAACCAGAACATGTAAATATTTCACATCAGATGATCCTGGATATCATCTCATCATTGGATATCACCTCATTCTTATAAAGCAATAAAAAAAGCATCAAATTATCTACCAGGTGTAATTGTTGCACATTTCACAGCAACATTGTGCCTGCAAGTTGCACAAAAAGATCACAAGAAAAAGTTAAACAGCATCCAAATGGGAAAGATGCAGACATAATGTCAAAACATCAATTAGCTTGGTATGCCTAAAGATCAAAAAATAGAATAATTAAAACTGGGTTAGCAACAAAAGAGTGAAACAGACGCTCGGAGTTTCCAACTAGTTTGACAAGTTAGTATATTTCTGAAAGGAGTCCCTAAGTTTTGAAACAGTACGCTGAACTGCAGAATTCATGCTGATGCTAGTTTAAGCAATCAGTGTTCCCATGTATCTTTCTGAGAAATAATTCGATAGATCTGGTGAAATGGAAGATTGAATACACCAATCGATACAAGCATGTACAAAATGGTAGAGCAAGTTTCCTATGTGCACAAACATTAATTATACACAAATTGGTATTCAGTTTATCACTATAAGAAAACACAATAAACCATTTAAGTGAAAGGAGGAAGCGGAAGTGCTACTATAAAGAAGGTCGTGGTACGTTACTTGAGAGTTGCCTCGGCACTTTCAACGGTTACCCGATCGTCGGTGGCATCACGATTCAAGAGGCCCAGATCGAAGTACTTGATGTCCAATTCGAGAAATGGAAAAATTAGCTGCAGTCAGGAAATAAATCAATCAATCATTTCCAAGTGACTCCAGACTTGCAGGATATATAAGAGGAATGAGAAGATCGACACCTTTTCTTTTATCATCCTCCAGATGACCCTCGTCATCTCATCGCCTGAGAAGACATCAAAAAGTTTTTATGTACATCAGATAGGTAGGGTTTTAACCTCTTTTTTTTCTGAATTGAAAAAAAAGAAGAAGATATCGATAGAACGTACCGAGGAGAGAAGAATAAGCGTTTGAAAGCGGAAAAAAAAAAAAAAAAAAGCAGCAAACACACACACACTAGGGGGATGTCGCTCACCATCCATCTCAACGATGGGGTTGTGGACTTTGATTCGCTCGGCCGGTGAGAAGGAGGCAAGGCAGCGTACGGAAGAACCGACGACGACGAAGCGGGTGGGAAAAGAGAAACGAACACCATTGAGTCGCCGCTGATGCGTGAGGCGGATCGAGCTAGGGTTTTTACCTGGTAGGAACGACGAATAAGGGGAAGAGGAAGACATGGCCCCGGTGGAGAGGAGCCGCCGCATGACAAAGCAAGCAATTTGGCGAGCGAAGTGCCCGGCGGATCCATTGTTCATAAGATGGCCTGACCCCAACCCCAAAAACATTAAAATAAATAAATAAAAAGGGTAATGACGATTTACACAAAGGAGGGAAACATTGCATACTCATATGAGATAATGGTGTCTTGTAAATGCTCTTTCTCGCTCTAAAGCAATGCTAATGTCTTTTTTTTGCTAACGTCTGAATACTTCATTTAAGAGTACATTGTTATGTGCCAAAACATCTGTTATATCCATAGAGACTGTTGACAAGGACAATTATTCGTGAAATATAACACATTTTTTAGATATCGTGAGTTTAAGTGCTCTTTCTCGCTCTAAAATTATGCTAATATTTTTTTGTGCTAACAATCCTAGTGTGACCGGATGATCTGAATACCTGTTAGGTGGCAAAACATCTATACATACCCATAGAGGCTTCTGACAAGGATAATTATTTTTGAAATATAACATATCTCTTAGATATCGTGAGTTTTTGTGCTTGATGCTTGTAGCATAAGTTATCATTGATTATAAACCGAGTATCCTTCATTAATTATTTGTCCTTTTGCCTATTTTACTTCGAGAGATTTACAATTTTTCAACGTGTCATGATGTGTTATGTATATGTTAATGTATCTTGCAAGAGATGAACGTTAATACGTGAAAACTTACGGTGGTTGATAGATATTATAAGTCTCTTTTATAAAGTTTGAGTTAACATACTGTCACGAATGGTTATCAAGCACCACGAATGATTATCGTGCACCCGTAATAACTCTGTTCAACGAATCGTTCATCGTTCTCATCTACATGTACAGCTGCTTAGCAGTATGTTTTGGCTTGGTTTTAAGTCATTTTGCTTGTAAAAATGTGAGTTCGAATAAGTTGCAGTGCTACAGTGTGATCGCTCACCGAATCAAGCAAAACAGTCCCAAAATAGTTCTGTTTTCGTGTACCATGGGCTGTTTTCTACAGCTCGCTGTTGCACATGAAACGTCAGCCATCTCAACACCATGGAACCCCCCCAAGTGGCATGTCATATATTAATATATTTCTTTAATATATCAACATAGGACACGATAATCAATCATCCATGCTTTGTACATATTCATGTCAGTACTTGTAAATAAATTCAGCCACTTTATGACAGATGAAATTTCGAAATAAAATTATAATTTTTTTATCACTATAATTATTTTTTTTATAATTACAAATAAAAAAACAAAAAATAAAAAAAAAGTTTTCGGTTTGTAAAAGAAATCAGAAACAGAACCATCCATCTAGGAACCAAAAACAAAATTAATAAGTCTCGAACTGAAATCGAAATCATCTAAACCTGATTCGATTTTGATTCTAAACAATTTAGAACCGGAATCACCAGTTCGGGGATGTCCGAGAGGTCATGCCGAAGTGTCTTGGCTTGGTTTTTTTTTGTTTTTGTTTTTTTAATATATTAGGAACATGTCCAATCACAACACCGTATTATTATTATTATTATTATTATTATTATTATTATTTTGTATCGCATTCCTCGCAAGCATTGGAAGGGCCCGCTGCCCCATGTATCATCGCTTTTTACGCCTCAGAGAGTTGCCCGCCTTTGGTATATAGATATATTCCTTTCACCATTCCCTTCAGCAACAGTGTTGTTCTCTTGCAAAGGGGAATAGCTGGTTGTTGTCGGAGCGAGCATCTTATCGTTTGTGCTCTCGGGCTAAACAATGAATAATCAAAAACAAAACAGAGGAGAAAAAAATATACAATGAATGAGAAATTATATGTACCTTCAAACGGTAAATATACAATTACTTTCACGCGGGAAAGTGTCATGATTGTCTAATGACATCAAGTGATTAGTTGGTGCAGGCACAAGGAGCGAGTGACGTGCGCTAGGATTTGTGATTTCAAGGAATTGTTTAATTTAAATAAATGAAAAGAGGGTTTTTTTTTTATATATAAAAATATTAAATATATAGATGTTTGTGAATATAAACAAGACAAAAAAAGGACGTACCGTAGAAAGCGAAGCCAAGGAGGAAAAGGCCGAGACCAAAAAGAAAAAGGTCGGGGCACCCATGTGACCTCCAGCATGCATGCATGCATGCCTGCCCGCCTGCCTAGGAGTACCTTCGGCCATCGCCTTGCCCATGTTTAAACCACCACAACAAGGTCTTTAAAATTAGGAAAAGAACCACGCGCGCGCGCGCACACACAACAACAACATCTGTTCTTACATTGATTCGAGAAAAAGGAACGTTGAACCCTTCATTTCTCTCTCTTGTCTCAACCGCCCGCCTATCTTAAACGAAAATAAGTTTGTAACGTCCAAGAAATCCCACCTACACATCAACGTGAATATTTTAAATTTATTCACTTTATTAAAATCTATGTATGTATGTATGTACGTATACATGATTTGTCGAGCGAGCGCGCGCTTACAGATACCTTACAATGTTCGTTCTATCAGGATGAGGAATAGGTGAATGAATAGCAAAGGTGGCTGTTCATTCGTGCATACGAACAGTAGGTGTTGCATTGTGAATCGAATTAGACCAAAAGGACCCCGCCCGGATGGAGATGGTCGGGATGTAAAACCTAACCTAACCGCATGTTACGTGATATGGCAGCCTCCCTCTCCTCTTCTTGGATAATGGATGAGAGAGAGTGCAACAGTACAAAGTTCCATCCTGCGTCCTCTGTATTTACAGAATGCAAATAAATTATGGCTGATCAAACGGCCGTCACGACGCGATGCAACGATGGATGCCGGGTGGTGATTGGATTATTATTGTTGTCATATATAATATTTTTGCAGCATGGTAGATGTAGTGTGAGAACTGAGAAGCATCTCTCCTTCTCTGTCACGGTCACAGCAAGGATGTCATTGTAGTACATCTGCGCCCGTGTCGGCTTTGTCAGTTAGCATTGGCTCTTTGCGTGTCTGGTTGCAGCGCGGTTTTTGCCCTTTTCCTGGGGAGGGAGGGAGCTAGCGAGGAGGACGATATGGGACTCTGCCTGCCAGAACCCAAGGAATCCATCCACGCCCTTGCCCTCGCCCTCGCCTTCTCCATCTCCCTCGCTCTTGCTGCTGCTGCTGCTGCTTCTGCCGCCGCTGCCGAGAGACCACCACCTCCACTACCACTGTTGCTTCTGCTGTGCTGCCACAGCGAGGCGAGGCGAGCAACAACGACAACAGCTACAGCTACAGATACAACGACAACAACAGTAACAGTAACAGCGCGGGCGGGCGCAGTATATCTCTTACATAGACCTTTTTCTTTTTCGCGATGAATGAAAAGAATAGACTCCTTGACAGATCTGGCAGCGACATTTGTGGCTTTCCCTGACGCTCGTTCTATCAATTCCATTCTTCAGCCCGCAGAGCACTAAGGCGGTCTCGGGAAGCAGGACCGACTCAAGAAGGAGAGCCCCTTCCTCCCTCTTCTCCACGTCTCTTTCCCTTCTTAATTTCTCCGTGAACGCCTTCTTAATTAGTTCTGGGGCTGGGTCGGTGAAATTTCTTCCGGGTTGGTTGAAATCTCTCTGATCAGATCTGTGAGGAATTTCGTGTCTTCAAGAGCAGCCTTGGATTTTGCTTCTCTCCTTCTTCCGGTTCCGGCAGAGGGTTATTTGCTAAGAGTTTGGTCGACAAAGGTGAGGAGCCAAGGTGATTCCTTCACAGGACCGATCTTTTTAAAGATCTGGGAGAGGGAATAAGGTTGTGTTGTCGGCTTCTTGTGCTATCGTATCGCGGGTGTTTCATTCTGGGGCTCCCGCTGGCTTTGGCTCTCTGCTATCTTCATCTCGAACTGGTAATTTGCTGGTTTGTTGTGGTTTTGCTGCCTTGGATGGTCGTATGATTGTAGATTGGCGCGGATATGGTGGCCGTGGCAAATGGGTTGTAGCCATAACGACACAAGAAGAAGGGAAGAGTTTGGACTGGGGAAGGAGCATGGAGTGGAAAGTTGTTTTCTTTTGTCGGACGCTTTGTTTGGTGCTACTGCACTTTCTCTATTTGTCCGCGGCAACGCTCTCGCCTTCTGGTATAAATTACGAAGGTCAGTAGCTCTCCATTCATTTCCCTTCCTTTTTTTTTTTTTTTGTTCTTGAACTTAAACGAGGACACTATCAAAGACGCCATGTAATTGTTTTAATATCTGCCCCAATCTAGTGGTTCCCAATTCGAGCTCTTCCTAATGGTCCTCTGCTTTTCCATGTATGCAAGGCTTGATAGACGTCAGATTTCTTGGAAGATGCCTCCTTGTGTTCGCTTGTTTCTTTTCCTTCCCTCCATTTTATATGCTTCTGTGTTCGGACCATTTGTTTCCCCTTTCATCTGTTATCTTATTTAATTTCAGCAGTAAGAGCATCTGCATCTAACTCCCATAATTTTCTGACTGTTTCTTTTTACCTTGTTATATATTCATAATGATAGAGATAAGTGAGATGCCAGTTCAACTTTCTGTGTTGCTTTACCCTGAATTTCCCTACCTTTAATTCTGCTGTTATGACATAATGCAATTGCTTACTACTTACTACCTTGGGTGGCAATGTGCAGTTGCTTTTTGAAATGCTAGTAATCTTTTATGATTTGGTGTTCTTGAAGCCCATGCCACCTGCCTAGATTTCAACTCTTCCACTCATTTGACTCGGCAACTTCTGTACAGCTCGACTGTTAGGATAGTTGACACAGTGCACCAGTACCCAGTGTACCATCTAAATTTGAAGCATTACACTTTACCTGAAGAAGCCACTTCACCTTTTGCCCTGATAATCTATTAGCAAATTTCTAGCAGAAGAAATATTGTCACTTTGCCATTCAGATTTAGTAATCTAACAATTATTGAATGTTCTTGTATTTGTCAATCCCTTTCTTATAACTTGTTTTCTGATGCTTGATCTTGTCTTTATATGAATGCAGTTGTAGCATTGGTTGCGATCAAAATGGAATTAAATGACCCCTACAATGTTTTGGAAAATTGGGATATCAACTCAGTAGATCCATGCAGCTGGAGGATGGTCACCTGCACGTCTGATGGTTATGTTTCTGCCTTGTAAGACTAATTGACACTTTTCTTTTTTGCAGCA